ACCCAGCTCCCTGGCACCAAGTCCCAGGCAGGAGCAGCTGTTTTTCATCACTTCTGGGACAAGCTCTATTTTTACCCAATGACCTTTAGAGAGATCTCCCAAGCCAGCTCAAGATGCCTTACTAGTTCCTCTGGAGAAAAGGAGCAGGAAGATTCTTTCTGGGTCTTGTCACGCTACTTTCTCCATCCCAGGTCAGACTGTCCATGTCATCTCTTCTGCAGCCAGGACAATAATTTTCTTCAGTCTTGGGCCTCCAACCTGCCTGTCTTCTGGGTCTGTTCATGGCAGGTTCTGGTCTCAAAGCTGGGCTGAAGAGAGAAGAAGAAATAGAGTTACCCTCTGGCCTTACCTATTGCCCTCAGTTTGGAGCTGCCCATTTGGAAAGAGAGAGGCAAAAAATACCTTGTTATAGAAAGTATGCAAGCTGCGGCCAGGATGCACAAAGGAGAGTCTAACAAGAGATAGATTGTCTCAGATCACCTCCAAGGGCTCTCCGAGTCCTCAGATGCGTTACATGGTATTAGGAAGTGAGAAGGGTGGTTGTGACAGATGGGCTGAGCTTGAATTCAGGGGCAGATGAGCTTAGGTAGTAAGTGAAGGATTAGGCCAGAGTCAGCCTAGGTTCTGGCCACTTAGGAAGTGCCTCCCTCTTCAGTTTTAGGCCACAGCCCCAGTGTCCATATCATAACTAGAAGAGTGGGCACTGTCCCACCCAACTCTTTATCATTGCAGTCTGGCTCAGCTCATGCCTGGTCCCAGTGACCTTGAGGAGCCTAGCTACAGGCCCTAGCCATCCTTCTTAGTTCTGATTCTAGTCCCTAGGAGGGAACTGGAGAGGAATGTGGCTGTTCTGTAGTTTCCAGAGCTGAATGGTGGGGTCCTCTAGAAGTTCAGATGATCAGATTCAGAATGCTTTGCCAGGATGCAGCAGGGTGGTAGCTGAAACTGGTTGAGGATCAAGTATATGTAGGAGAAAGAATATTAGGATGTTGCTAAAGGTGAGGAACAGTATGATTTGGGATTAAGGGTAGACTTACCCACCCAGCAGAGTAACATTAGTCATAGAATCTTCCATGTAAGGCTAGGGAAAGCAAGGGTCATGATGGAAGAGAATCGGGATTGGGATGGGGCACACTTTGGAATAAAGGAGTAATCCCAGAGGGTTCTTAAGGCCTGGGGACACAGGCCCTGTTGGTAGAAAGATGAGATGGGACTCCTCCTCATTTATTAAGTGACTACATTTACCAAAGCCCCCTACCTGCAGGGACCCTTGTAGCATAGGAAACCAGGGCTATGAGTACCTCCTCCTAGAGAAGAGAAACTGAGGCCTCTGGCTGATGCAGTGGCAAAGAGGAGCCATTTCTAACTGCATTTCTCCACAGAGCCAGCAGGAGGCAGTCTTGGGAAGCTGCAGTTCTTTCTCTGACTGTTCTCTCCTTACCATTGCCTTCTCCCTGACCCTCTCCTCTAACCGTTTAAGAGATTGCTTGTGTACTGCCTCTAACCTCCAGTAGAATTCAGCTAAATAAATGCTTCCTGCATTCTTCTGCCTCCTGTGTCATTTTTGGCTTAGCTAAAGCCCTTCCCTTCTCCCCAGATGTGGCATAGTCCATGGGACACTTGTGGGGGGGATATCTGAGACACATGGACTGAGAACTTGGGGGTATGCAACCCTGAGGAGAGACGGTGAACAATGGAAAAACTTAGAACCATAGAAGTTGTGTTGTCCCTGGGTTGAAATCCTGGTTCCATCATTGACTAGTTAGGTGGCTCTGAGTGAGCCCACTCCAGCAGGTCTCAACTCCCCCTCTTTTTAAATTAAAAAAAAAATTTGGTAGATTGCCTTTATTTATTTGTTTATTTTTATGTGGTGCTGAGGATCAATCCAGTGCCTCACACATGCGCAACAAGCACTCTGCCACTGAGCTACAGCCCCAGCCCTCAACTTCCCCATCTTTGTAATGAGAGAGTTAGATCAGATAATGTCTCAGGGTGATATTGCCCATGCCCTGACTCGATGTCACTGACACTGGAGTAGGCAGGGCCTACCTGGGTCAGGGTATTTTGGGGCTGCTTCCTTGTGGCAGGTCAGGGATCCAGGGCAGGAACAGGAGCCATTATGAGGAGTCACATCTGAGTCTGGACACTAGTGAGGCCAGGACCCAGACTTTCAGGAGTAGTCTTCTCCTATGTCTTTTGCCTAAAGAAGAAGATTGTGGCCCACTCGCAGGTGAGGGCAAGCCTTCCAGGTGGACATCACTTGCCTTTCCTCTCTAGACGCTCAGGCCCAGCAGACACTGAGCAGAGATGCCCAAGGGACAGGACCACAGCAGACTCCAGTCTTCCGTCCATACCAGGTGTCAGAATTGTGCCCTGGAACAACTTCACCAAAACATAGGCATGGGTGTTCCTGTCCCTCCTGTGCCCACACTTTCCCAGGAGTGGTTTATATGCCTCTGACCCAGACACAACTTCAGATGGAACCTCTGAAGTTTACGTACTGCTTACAGTTGATTTCACCTTAGTACCCAACATCTCAAACTGAGTTCCTCCCAACAGAGCTGTCTCTGCCCCTGTCCCACCCTGCTTCTCCCCGTTTCTTACCTTAGTTCCAGAGTCAGACACAGGAGTCTGGGGCAGCTCCCATTCTCCCCTTTCACTTTCAGTCCCTCAACGAGACCTGTGGATTCTCCAAGTACCCTTGATGCCCCTTCTCTTCTCCATCCCCTCTGTCCCTGCCCAGGTTAGCCACCCCTGTCTCACCTTGCTCCCCTTGGTAGCCAGATATCTGTGGCAAATGCCAATCTGACCACTCCACTTCACCAGTGAGTTTCCTCAGCGGCCTTCATAACAGCTTCCTTCTGAGAAGCCTGCTGTGATCTCACGCCTGCCCACCAGTTGGGCCTCATCTCACACCATGGCCCCACGGCCCTGGCTCTGGTTCTACTCGCCAACCTCTTACCATCTTTACCAGTGCTGTGTCCTTCACCTGCACTGCCTTTACCCACCTCTGTCCCACTCATCCTTCAAGGCCCAAGTCAAATGTCTCCCTTTGTGGAAAGCCTCCCCACCCTCCAGGTTGAGTTGGTGACAGGCTCCCCTGCTCCCCTGGGCTCTCCCAAAGACTTTCCCATGATGCATCACAAGGCTTGTGGCCTGAGAGAGCTCTTTGAGGACAGGGCCCTTGCTTATAATTTTCAGTTCACAGGGAGAGGCTTAGAGAATATGAGAAGGTGGAGGGAGAGAGCGAAGAGAGGAGGAAGGAAGGAGACAAAGGATAAGTCAAGCAAAAATATCAAGAAGAGTTCATTCATCCATCCACACATTCATTTATCCAACAGATATCTATTGAGCTCCTATCCAACACTGTTGTAGGCCTAAGAACATGACAGTTAACAAGTTGAAGTGAACAGCAGCTGATTCTCAGTATTTCCAGGTGACCTGGACATGTGCTCTTGTGCATGTGTACCCGTGGGTGCAAGCCCTTCTGTCTGCAAGGGCCTGCTGCCGGAGCACCTGTCTTCCCTAGGGCCTGGTGCTTTCTTTTAGCATCTGGCCCCGGCTCCTGTTGCAGCCCGAAATAAGGCTGTGACCCACGACAAGGCAAGAATGATTCTCGTCAGCTGAAGCCAGAGCTGGCTACAGGGCACACCCTGATCACTGACCGCTGACCGCCGACTGTGACAGACACTGACCACGCAACTCTCAGCTTCCCGACGGAGGTGTTAATCTTGAGGGTCGGATACTCCTTCCTGACCACTGTGGTTTCACCCTCTCAGGTACCAGGATCCTAAGGGAGCTGGGGGAGCTGTGGGGAGTGGGTGGAGGAGGCTAGGCAATTCCCAGAGGACCTCTTCCCCCAGCAGGGACAGGGCCCTGCAGAGGATCTGGGGAGTTTGGGGCCTCATGAAAGCCTGGATCCTGGTTGGGAGGAGGGGAACAAGTTCTAGGTTCTCTCCATTAAATGGGGAGGGGGCGACTAGGATTAAAGGTTGGGGATAGATGATGGATCTGCCCAGGACTTCAGGCATTAGGCAGCGGAGGGAAGTCGCTTCCTGTCTGTAAATAGGACCCCTTCCCAGCACCTGTCAATTCTGGTAAGGGGAGTGTTTATCCAGAAATAGATCTGGGGACTGTGGCATTCTAAAGATCAGAGTGGGGGCAGTCTCTATCATCTCTTGATCACCCCAAATGTGTGTGGTCACACTCATGTTTACTTACAGTTTTAACTGTTCATGATACCCCGAAGCTCAGCATGGATCCCTATGATTAGCCCAACCCTCTTAAATCACATAGGGGGCAACCGAGGCACAGAGCTGGAGAGCTGCTTGTTCACAGTTGCAGGTTGCTTAGCTCAGTGTCCACTGACTAACCCAGGGTCCTTGCAGGTATGTGTGTGGGGGACACAGATAGGGGCAAATTTTTTTCCTGAGGGAAGGAATATGGTAAGACCTGGAAACAAAGGAGAGGGGGACTGGGGTGGGTGGTCACCCAGGGAGCCCAAGGGTGCTGCCTCCTTCTCTGGGAAAAAGTTCGGTAATCTGAGTTTGGGGCCTGCAAGGGTTCTCTGAGGCTCTGGGGCTTATTTTAATCACAAATGGTCTCTAAGATGCCTGGAAAGTACCATGAGATGAAAAAGGGGAGATAGAGGAAGAAGAAGAGGAGGGTCGAGGGAGAAGAGAACACTGTGGAAGTCAGTGCAGGGTGGGCAATGGGGGAGGACCCATGATGACTCTCAGTGCCTCCCTAGCAACATGGACCCCATTTGTCTGACCTCAAGCACCTCCCCTGTCCTCCCTGAGCCTCAATCTCCTCCCTTCTACAAAAAGACCTGAAAGGCCTTTTCAGCTCAGACACCTTTGCTATTGATTTTGGGGTGGGTCAAGACTGTTCAGGGCTGGGGCTGAGTGGACCCGGGAGTTGGAGGAAGCCTTGGGAGGGAGAGGTTCAGGGAGGAAGGGGACAGCCTGGCCTATTTGTGGGAGTGTCTCCTCCACAGGATGATCCCCAAGGAGCAGAAGGAGCCAGTGATGGCTGCCATGGGGGACCTTGCTGGACCAGGTAAGATGGGCCCAGTCCTATGCTTTCCTCAAACTCCTCTCTTGGTCCCAGATTGTGGTCACTCAGGCCTGCTGGCCCCAGGCTAGCAAGCAGGTGTGAGTTCCAGAGCCCTGAGGGAGTGCCTATGGAATCTGCCACCTGGGCGCAGGCATTTCCTGAGGCTTTGAAGGGGCCCTGCCCTTATGTCCACAGGCCAGGCCCCATAGTGGGTTCTGACCCCAAGATGACCCTGGCCTTGGTCCCAGCTAAGGCCTTCCTTGAGGGCTCTGGTCCCAGATCAACTGTAGCCACAAGTTCTGGCCTACTTGTTCCTGCTAATGGTACCTACAGGCCTCTCGTGGGCCTCAGGATGACCCAGGCGGCTCAGCCCAGGGCTCAACACTAGTGGTGGGGGAATAGCATGGCAAGAGAGCCACAGCAGGCCACTCCCTCAAACTCAAACCATTTTACTTCAAAGCTGGCTCATCCAAAGAATAAATCATCTAAAACCATGCTTATCAACCTTGTAAGACCTCTTCATGAACTTCTGGAATAATTTTGAAGTCTGCTTGTTTGGTCTACATTAGAGCATTTCAAATATTTAAAAAATGAATTCAACTCAGGGGGGACCCTCAAGCTTTAGTGTGAGTCATAGTTGTTTCATGTTTTTCATTAAAAATAAAGATTCACAACATCTACCCCCAAGGTCTCTGATTTCATAGACCTTGGGGGGGGTGCTGAGAGCCACGGCCGAGTCTGTATGGCCCCTGGCATTTTGCCAACGGCAGGGGGGGGCATACATTTGCCTTTTGGACAAGTGTTCAGGTGACTTCAAAGCTGGTGACAGTGAGCTCGCTCTGAGAAATGCTTGTCCAAGGTCCCCTGTGCAGTTGGCCTCTGTCAGTCCTAAGAAGCAGTCAATCAAGTTGTGTGGCTTTATATGCAAACTTTTAACCTAGCTAGTTTGTGTGTTCTTGCCTCTTATTGTTGGTGTTGTGTTTCTTTTAGCCCCCCTGCCCCCTGATTTTGTGTGTTGAAATATGCAAACATTGTGAGATACTCATACTTCAGTTGGAAGAGTCGGGCAGTACCTTCTCATTTCTGTAGTCTGAGTAATTAATTAGAGTCCTCTAAACATCGACACACATCATTTATGCCACACTTGAAATATATAACTAGTTGAGAATTGCTAAGCCACTAATTAAAGAAGATTTTGAAATGAAAGAAAAATAGGAAAGAAAAAGAAATCTCACTCTCTCACCACTTAAAAAGTCATTTTAAAATAGTAATAATAAAAACACCATCCTTATTGGATGGTTACTGGGTCAGTGTGCTAGGAGATTTGAATCTTGTTATTTGAGCCCCAAAACAATTCTACAAGTTAGATATTATTATTCCCATTCTGCAGATGAAAAAAATTTTGACTCAAGGAGTGAGGTTTCTGCACACCTCTGGGTAACAGAGCTGAAATTTGACTTGCACTTTCTGTCTCCAGAATTGCTTCTTCTATGTGGTTATGCAAAGAATACATCTTTTTCTTTTTCTTTTTTTTTTTTTTTCACACCAGGGACTGAACCCAGGGGTGCTTAGCCACTGAGCCACATCCCCAGCCCTTTTTATTTTTTATTTTTTTATTTTGAGACAGGCGCTCACTGAGTTGCTTAGGGCCTTTCTAAGTTGCTGAGGCTGGCTTTGAACTTGCAATCCTTCTGCCTCAGCCTCCCGAGTTGCTGAGATTACAGGCATGCGCCACCATATCTGGCAGAATACATCCATTTTTAAAACTATTCAGACAAAACACCATGAATGACTTTGACAGTGAAAGTTCTTCATAATGGAACTATCTGTAGATGATCACTGTTATCATTTTTGTGTAAGTTCTTATGTCTACATATGATTTGTTTATATAGATGCACATACACATAGGCTAAATACTGTGTGCTGTGTTCTTCGGCTACTTCCTTTTTTCACTTAGCAACATACCACGGACTCCTTTGCACACTACCATGATTTATCTTACTGCCTCCCTCCCCTCAGTTTCCCTGGGCGTGAACATGTCATTTATATTTAATCAACCTTTAATGGTGGTCATGAGGGTGGAATCCTTAGGAGTAGAGCCCAGGAGTCTTGTGCAGGTAAACTGCAGCACCTGGGTGGCCCTCATTGCTGCTGGCAGCTACATCCCTCTCCCCAGCCTGGACACCCCTCCAGATGACTTAGTCTCTCAGGTGACTTTGGCAACCCAAAGCCTCCAGTACCTCTTCCCCCACTTTCACTCTCAACTAGTGACCTTGCTACTATAGTTTTTGCTGAGAAAACTATAGTAGCTCAAAGAAAACATGGGCAAGCCCCCTTTGCCACATCTGTGCACTGGCTTGCATCTGTTCTCAATCCTTCTTTGCCTGAGAGGGTGATGAACGCTCTTCACACCTGTCTGGTGCCAGCCCTTCTAGCTGGACAGGACACCCTGCTCTGCCCCTTCTCAGGCTCAAGGACATTCCTCCAGCAGTTCTCCCTTGTGCATTATCAGATGGTCCCCACTGCTAACACTCAGGCCATTATCTCCCCGTTACAAACAAGCCCCCTGGATCCCATGCTGCCTGCTGCCACAGGCCTTGAAAGCACAGCTTCTGCAAGCCGTTATCGATGCTTTCCTTCCCATTCTGTCTTTTTAACACATCATATGTCAGTTTCCAAACACACACGTAAGTAGAGGGTGCCACCCTTTATTCCTGGATCCCCAAGCAAATACCAAAGAGCACTTCATGACATCCCCTAAATTCTTCAGCATCCATGAAAATAAGAAAAAAGACATTTCCTTACATGCCACTAAAAAAATATTAGCACATTCAGCAAAATTAGCAGTAATGATTTAACAACATCTACTAGCCAATCTCATATTCAGCTTTCTCAGTTTTCTAGTTTATTTTAATCAGGATCTAAACAAGGGTCATAGTTTTTATTTGGTTGCCATGCCTCTTAAATCTCTTTTAATCTAAAACAACCCGCCCCCTTTTCCCCATGTCATTGACTTGTTTGAAGAAAACAGGCCAGTTGCCCTGTATGTAGAATGTTCCAAGTCCTGGCTGTGCCCACCGCTCCCCTGTGGGATGTGTAAGCTTGTTCTCTGTCCATTTTCTCTTGAATCCTCTCCAATCAGACTTTCACACCCAAATGCTCCATAGAAACAGTGTTAGTGAAGATTACCAGGGACTCTATGTTACTAAATACAAGAGTCAATTTTCAGCAACACTTGACCTCTTGGTCACTTTGTTATCCCAGAAATCTTCCAGCATTTAGTTTCCAGGACACCATCCTCTTTAGATGTTTTTTTTTTTTCTCCCTTACCAGCTAACTGTTCCTTTCCAGGCTCCAGGGCTGGTTCCTCTCATCTAAATGTTGGAAACCTCAGGGCTCAGTCTTGGCTCTCTTTATCTTTTCTCATTTCTTCCTGATCTTTTTCAGCTTCTTGGTTTAAAATATCATTTTATAGAGCTGGCACATGAGCCTGTGTAATTCCGATTTTATTTTAATAAGTTAGCTAATTCATTAATTTTCTTCTGGCTGGGATTTGAACCCAGGGCCTTGTACATGCTAGGTAAATGTTCTACCACTGAGCTACACCTCCTGCCCTGTATCTGACTTCAGTTGGACAACATTGGCCATGCTGGTGACATACCTTCTGCTCTCCTGTCACTCTGTCCACCAAAAAGCTTTTCTCCTTAGTCAAATGTAAAAGTTTGCATTTTGTTGGCAGGGAAAGCACAGATTTTGGGGATGGATCCCACACTACTAAGGACAGTCATCAGCCAGATGACAAATCCTAACCATGAGAAGGGAAAGAAATGTAATGTTCTGCATTGAAAAACAACGGCAACAAAATACCATTTGTAAGCTCATGAGTCTCTAATTTTTTAAAATCTGCAGGTCAGTTTTCTTTCATGAACATCAGAGTCACATGCCCTACTCAGTATTTCCACTTGAATGTCTGCAAGGCTCCTCAAACTGAATTTTGAACACAATTGGGAGTTTAAATATAGACTAGATATATTAGAAAAAAAAACCAAAATATGTTCATTTGGAAAAGTGATGTCTCTTTAATTGATAAAAACAAGTTACAAAGCATGTTTGCTATGATTTCACTAAAAACTCACATATGAATATGTAGTTATTAAAAGACTTGAAGCTGGGTGTGGTGATGTACACCTACAATCCAGCAGCTTGGGAGACTGAGGCAGATGGATCACAAGTTCAAGTCCAGCCTCAGCAAAAGCAAGGCCCTAAGCAACTCAGTGAGACCCTGTCTCAAAAAAAAGAAAGAAAGAAAGAAAAAACAAACAAACAAGGACATGAAATGTCATACACTGCAGCGTTAATACTGGCAATCTTTGAGTGACAGATAATGATATTTATTTTTCTTGTTTTTTACTTATACCTAAATTTTCTAACTTTAAAAATGCACATTTATGTTTTTATAATAATAAGAGACTATTTAAAACTTAAAAAGAGAGCTGGACATGGTAGCACATGCCCTAGGAGGCTGAAGCAGGAAGATCACAAGTTCAAGGTCAGCCTGGGCAACATATGAAGCCCCATCTCTTAAAAAATAAAAATTAAGGGTCTGGGGATACAGCTCAGTTGGTAAAGTGCTTGCCTTGCATGTACAAGGCCCTGGGTTCAATCCCCAGCACCACAAATAATAATAATAAAAAAATTTTAAAGACAGATGTCTAAAATCAGACTTCTGGTGTTTCTCTTCCCTCATCCTTTTCCATCTCGCTGAGCCCCTTCTGCCCACTCAGGTCAGAAATCTTGCAGTTAACTCTCCTCTCACAACCCGCACCTTTTATTTAAAAAGTTTAGAATCTGACCATTTCTCACACCTTCACCACGGTGGGCAAGAACCTGCCTGAGAGATTTATGACATAGGTACAAATGGCCAAAGAACAGAGTATCATGCTCAAATAATTCAGCTCTGAGCAGGGCAAACCATCAGGTAGGCAAGGAGTCCAGAACGCGGTGACTCCCAGCGTCATCGAGTGTGAGTGGAGCAGCCATTCTGGCACATAGCATATGATGCTGTGACAGGTGCCTTAAGGCAGTGGCCAGGAGTGCCTTGGGGGTTGGATAGTAAGAGCTCGCTCTGGCCTCTCTCGGCAGTCCCTTTGCTGGACCTGGGGAAGAAGCTGAGCGTGCCCCAGGACCTGATGATAGAGGAGCTGTCGCTTCGCAACAACCCAGGATCCCTCCTCTTCCAGAAGAGGCAGCGCAGGGTGCAAAGGTTCACCTTCGAGCTTGAGGAGAGTCAGCGGGCGGTGAGTAGGTCTCCATTGTGCTCATGGAGAAACTGAGGCCAGAGAGTCTGGCCAAGGACCTCTGGGTCCTTGCAGCTGGGGAGACTGGGGTGCCCCCATCCGACTGAGCCCCTGCTTTGCTGTGTGATCCTTGAAAAGGGTTCTCCCTGCAGGCATCTCTCCCAGAGACAAATCAGAGTGAATCGGGAGGATGAGCTGTGAGTCCTGGGCGTACAGAAACTGATAAAGAACAGCCAGCCGTGGGCTCTGGGCTAAATTTGCAGTGGGCAGGAGTTAGTTCAGACTTCGGCTTGATCTAAGATGGAAAATGCATGATGCTTTTTAAAATTTTGTCTTTCTACTTGAAGAAGAAAAACGTCACGGAACAATCTGCTGGCAGAAAAGGAGGGTGGGAATGGTTTATTCCTAGGCTTGGAAAAGGCTGCAGACAGTTTCAGGTACTTCTAGTGAAAACAGAAGTATTTTATCCATACTCCACTCCATTTCTGAGCCACTCAAGAGGCAACCGAGAGGGAACGATGTGACGGGAACAATAAGAATGCCAAAACACCTACCTCTGCCGTGCACCAGACAGTGCTAGCCAAGCGCTTTCCAGTTTATCCTTGCATGGAGTGCTCGGAGGTAGATACCATCATCATGGTGATGCCCACTTGAAAGAGAAGAGAACTGGGGCTCAGGGAAGTATCTTGTTGAGACTCCATGACAAGTGCAGGGAACAGCGAGCGTTCTTCTGTTCCAGGCACTGAGCCTAGTGTTGTAACCATCCATCCTTCTAACATGCCCTGGAGATGAATGCGAGGGTTCTTGCCCTTTCCCTCTCTCTCTCTCTCTTGGGTGGAGGAGAACCCTGGCACCGTGCCCCCTGAGGGTTTATCCCCCTACCCCCACAGATCCTGGCCGGAAGCGCCAAGAGGAGAGTAACTGGAACCGCGGAGGCGGGAATGGTGAGCGCGGAGGGAGACCCTCGGGAGGGGCAGCTGCGGGAAGGGGCGGGGCAGCTGTCTGTGGCTGTCTGAGCCTCTGAGCGCCCTGCCCTGTGCCCAGGTTGCCAATGGCCCCGAGGGGCCGAACTACCGCTCCGAGCTCCACGTCTTCCCGGCTTCGCCCGGGGGTTCCGAGGACTCCCACCCAGCAGCGGCGTCGGCCCATAGCCCAAGCGCTCTGGCGCCAGGTGAGTGGCCGCTTTGAGTCCTGGCCACCAGGGCTGAAACGCAGGGAGCGACCGCGCCCCCAACACCCCAGATCAGAACACAAGCCCAGAGAGTGGCAGCAGTGCGCCCAAGGTCACACAGCGAGTCAGAATCCGATCCCAAACTAGAAGAACCCTAGGTTCACTTGCTCAGGTCCTCTTCATTTCCTGGGATGAGGGAGGGTCCCCTTTGCTGGAGCAACTGCGACATTCCTTTTTCCACTCCTCCTAACTCCAGCCTTGCGCCCCCAACCTTGTCAGCTGGGTGGGGATGGGAGTGGGGCGGCGGAGACACAGCCCATGCGCCCGCTTCTTCACCTCCCGCGGGGCACCCACAGCTGCTTCTCCCGCAGGCTACGCGGAGCCCCTGAAAGGCGTGCCGCCTGAGAAGTTCAACCACACCGCCATCCCCAAGGGCTACCGCTGCCCGTGGCAGGAGTTCATCAGCTACCGGGACTACCTGAGCGATGGCCCAAGTTACACCCCCAGCCTGCGAGACTATCGGAATTTCAACAAGTAAGGCCAGGCCGGGCGGCGCGGGCAGTTTGGGGAGAGCCCAGGACGTACAGGGTACCATAGCAGTAGCCCGAATTTCCTAGCCTTTCCACATCCTAGTTCTAGTGCCAGCACTTCATATGTACTTATTGAGGTCTTGCTAAAACAGTGCCTCAGCACCTAGTAGGTGCTTCGTAAACGTAGGACGAATGAATGGAGAACGTGCCCCAGTCTTGTTGTATTCCCACAAGATGAGGTGGCTGTGCCTTGATTTCCTCTGTTCGGCCAATGAAGAGACCGAGGTTCAGGAACGACCTGCCCAAAGTCTCAGAACAAGGAGGAAGCAGCAGGACTGGGATTCAAGCCTGGGTTTGTGTAACTCCAGAGCTGGTGTCTTGTTCTCCTCACTGCTGTGGGCCACTCTATGATGGACATCCAGTTCTGCCCTGGAGAGCCCCAGATCTCCCCATCCCAAGGCCAACCCAGCCTCTCTTTACTTGCATCAATGATGTATGTGGAAGAGACCTCCAAGGTGGCCGTGAGGCTGCCCAAAGCTGGGAGTGGGGCCAGAGGTCAGGGCCACAAAGGAGTGTCATATATTGGGTTTAGGGCATAAGTTCTCCATGTGGGTTTAAATGCAGACTCCAGGTCTGGCTGTGTGACCTTGGGTAAGCAATTTAACCTCTCTGAGTCTCCATTGCCCCACCTGTACCTACTTCACAGCATTGCCATGAGGATGACATGAGAAGCCACAGGCAAAGTTCTGGCAAGTAATAAGTTCTCAATAAACGTTAGCTATAGGTACTACTACTACTGTTACTGTAGGCTGAAATGATGGTTGGAAGAGCTAAAAAGGGAGAACTTCAATAGTATTTTGCCCTGGGAATCCAAAAACAGACCATAGGACTCAAGACTGGAGTTTGACTTGGAGGCGGGCCTTGGATTGGGGGTGCCTTTCAGTTGCAGTTGGCTTCCTCAGTCTGCATCTATTTTTGAACATACTCCTTTGGCTTAGGCTATATTAAGTGAGGAAAAGAAGTGTCCACAGAGAGGAGGCCACAGTCCAGCTCTTCTGGCACCTCCTCAGACCACACGTGGAGACTGTGTCTGTCTGATAGAGACAGATGGGTGCACTCCAGGGCCTGGCTAGGACGTTTTGAGGCACTTTTAGGGAGGACTGAAGGATGGGTATGGGGGGTGATCAGCCTTGAGAAGAGATGGTTCAGGAGAAAGGTGACTACCCTCGGACGGTCGAATACCCAGGGAGGCCCTGATGGGAAGAATCAGGCCCAACAGGCGCTGTGTGAGCCACGAGCCATTGGCAGACATTCTGACTTCCCTGCCAGCCAGGGTGGCCCTGTCCTCCTCCTGGGCCCTCAGATCCTGCCTGCCCTGCTATTTAAAACCCGACGCAGACGTTCAGTGCTGGCAGCCAGCTTCCAGGCTGGCTGGCTCTGGGCACATCTCCTACCCATCTCAGGCCTCTGATTGACAGGCGGAGGCACATTCCCACCAGCAGGGGGAAGGCCTTAGGGAGTCCTGGGCCCAGACCTCATCTGAGACAGAAGGAGGAACTGAGGCATAGAGAGGAGGGACAGCGGTATTGGGGGCCCAGTGGGGCTCAGAATGCTGGGCTCTGGGCTTCCAGTCAAGGCCCCGGCTGTGAGGCCTGCTTGGCTTGGACACTGCCCAGCCTGTTCCTGCTGGGCCTGGCTGTGCTGCCAAAGCTGGGGTGGTCCAGGCAGCAGTGCTTTCCTGCCAGGATCCCAGGCTGTGGCCCATGGTGTGTCTTTCCACCCCTCTCCCCACTGGCCCCTGCTGCAGGCAAACACCACACCAGCAGTGCTTTATGTTTTCCTTAAAATTAAAACATTGTTTTAAAAATCACACACATATATTCTCTTAGAGAAAAAAAAATAGGCAACTTCAAATAAAAGCAGGGCCCTTTGTTTACTGTCCCCCAGGTCCCTTTCCCAGGGCCCTTTCTAAAGGTAGCCCTGTTGTCCGGTTGGCCTGTGTGTTTTTGGAACACATTGTTAAGGCCCTTGCATACTATAGAGCTTGTGGCCTTGGTTTGTGAGTATGCAAGTGTTTTGATACTTTGTGTTTTATTCTGTAACTGGCTTTTTTCATCCAACATTATGCTTTTGTAATCTATCACACTGATACCTATAGATCTAGTTCTTTCCTTTTAAGCTGCAAAAATTCTGTCCTATGACACACAATTTCTGTTTTGTCCGCTCCTCTGCCAGGGGACATCTGAGTTGCTTCTGGTTGTCACTAAGGCACCATTCATGTCTGCTTCCTTGTGCTTACCTGCATGAGCCTCCCTGAGCTCCACGCTTAGAGATGGAGTTGCTGAGTGACAGAGTTGACATAAATTCAAGGTTCAGAAGATCCCACTGAATTGTTCTCCAAGGTAGCAGCACCAATTTGTGCTCCAACCACCCGACTACAAGTGAAACTGCCCCTACCCCCTCATCAATGTTGCCTCATTATCAAGTTATTTCCTTTTGCCAGTCTTTTGGGGGAGAAATGGTAAATCTCTGAGGTGATTTGCATTTCCCTGATTCTTGCTGCTCTTTTGGAGCCTTCCTTCTCTCTCCAGTTTGTGGGTATTTTGTTCTAAGTTGAGGTAACAAGAGGAAGGAAAATCTCTTTCTCCTTCCCCACTAGGGGCAGACTTGGGAGAGGGAAGAACTGGAGAAACCTGTTAACCATAGTGAAAAATCTTTGCTGTATACAAGGGAAAACTGAGGCCCAGAGAGAGGCAGGTAGGGGCCACATGTGACCTGAATGTCAGCCTTCTGCCATCCCTGCTCCACACAGCCCACCTTTCCTGTTGCTCTTTTCCCAGGACCCCAGTGCCATTTGGAGGACCCCTCATGGGGGAGACCATTCCCAGGGCAGGCACCCCTTTTGTCTCGGAGCCCTTCAGTGGCTTGGAACTCCTCCGCCTCAGACCCAGCTTCAACAGGGTGGCTCAGGGCTGGGTCCGCAACCTCCCAGAATCCGAGGAGCTGTAGTCCCAGGCTGAAGCTTCAATTCCTCAGTCTCCAGGCTCAGGTAGTATCTGAAGCCAAGACTCGTGGACAGCACTTCACAGTTTATGAAGAGCCTTCACACACAAACCATTATTGCAAATGGCCTCAAAGGTCACAAAGTTCAATAGTCCCCAAATGCAGATGTGCTTCAAAATCACCTGGGGACCTTGGTCCTAACACAGATTTCTGGCCTGCCCTAGACCTGTAGCATCAGGATTTCGTGAGTGGAGAATTTCTGTCAGTAACCAATACTCCAGGTGATTCCTGTGTGACGGGGGCACAGTTAGTGTCTTTAGGAATCCACACCCACGCAGCTTACACTCCGTTCCCTGATGGTGGTGCACTCACTAGCAGCCCATCTACCTGAGGATATCTCTGATAATTAGAAAGTTTTCCCTTTTACTGAGTTGCAGTTGGTCTTCATCTGTGCATGCTCTAAGTGTTTACTAAGTACCTACTATGTGCCAGACAGTGTGCCAGGCCCAGGCCTTCAGGAGGAAAAGATGGTGGAGAGGGCCGATTTGCGAAGGAGTAAATCACATTAGTTTTCCCTACAGCTCATCGACAATGGAGGAACCGGGTGTCGTGGAGCAGGGGAAGGGTCCCCAAACCTGGTGGTGGGGTGGGATTCCAGAAGTTTCCCAGAGGATTTGAGTGGGGTCTTGCAGAAGGAAGGCGAATTCATTAAGGAAAGAGGTGCGATGGGAGGGCTTTCCTGACAAGTGGATTGGCACGTGCAGAGGTGGGTGTGGCATTGAGCATAGATGCAGGTTGTTCTGGGGAAGAGAGAGGTTATATTAGGGGTCAGTGAGGTCCAGAAGTGGGGTTTTAAGAAACGGGGAGGTTTTAGCAATGGATTTCACTGGTTGCTGTGGGGGACACATTGAAGAGGAGCAGTGCTGAGAACCAGGGAGTCTGCAAGGGGTGAGGCCTGGATAGAGTTATGGCCATGCAGATCCAAAGGAGAGGTTGCCCTGCTGGGCACTTTACAAGAGAGGTGTGGAATGAAGTTCTTATAAGGACTCCCTTCCACCCTCCATCTGAGTAGGTCCCTTAGTTCTAGGGAGGAGGATGGTGGTGGTAGTGCTTTTTATTGAGTGTCTAGTGCTTGGGCTGGGTTCTTGACACACCTGGTTCCTAATTCTCAATATAGCCTGAGAGAAAGGTATTTTTGTTCTCAATTCACAGATATGAATGTTCAAGCTGAAAAGAGGGAAATGTCTTAGCCGGGGGCAGAGTCAAAATGGGAACCTGTTTTACTCTTTTTACTATATTGGGTGGCCAAGCCAATGCCCATTCACTCTGGACGCACTGATCGTGGTGCCTTGCCTTGGAGCTCACAGGTTGAGTGGAGGCTGGACCACCTGATGGGATGGGATGGGGTCTGATTCTGCCATTGCAAGCCTTGTGAACTTGGGCCAGTCATTTCACACCTGAGACTCCCCGTCTGTAAGATGAGTATAGAAACTCCTTCAGGGGGTGCAGGTCACAGTCATGAGGGTTCAGTCATTGTTAGGTTTCTTGCAAACACCGTTCTTGGCCAGAATCTATGGTTCTTGCAATGGGTGTAGCTTGAGAAGTCAGCTGCCAGGATGGCATTGGGGTCAGAAAAGCTGCCACCTGAAGGAAACCCTCCCATCACTGCAGGGGTCCCTTTGGATGGGAATTCCTCTTCTCTAACGCCAGGCCTGATGGGAGAGTGGTTGCATTTTCCTTTTGGTCTGGAGTTTTGTTCCTTTCCTGGATCCCAAAGGGCCAGCAGACTCTTAGGATTGTTTGCAATGGTGTGTTCTCTAGGATTTAAGGGCCATTGTTTAAAGCTAGGCTTTATGAGTGTAAGACCAAGCATCAAAGTGTCAGGCAAGTAGAAGAGGGGACATGGATTGCCTTGGGTTGTTTCTACCGTGCTCTGGAGGGTAACTACCACTGCCAGGCACAGAAGAGACTGGGGGAGACTCCTGCAGTCAAAAGTGGATCCTCATTCCCTTCCTCTGATCATGTGAATTGCTGATGTTAAAAAAAGGCTTACTGTAAAAAATAAAAGTAAAATGTGAAAGTATCTGCCCAACACAGTTGCTCTCAAGTACATTCATTCCTCTTCCCACCCTTCTGCATTCGTTTCTGTTCCTGTGTACTAGAGACAACCACTTGAAAGTTTGGTCCTTTTAGAATTATAAATTTCTGTGAATTTGTACCCATGTATAGGTATATGGCTATATCTTTGTTTTAATGGACTATTACTCTTCATTCAGCAAGTAAAATTTAGATCCTGAAAAATCAGGTAATTAACCTTTCATATAATCTGGGAAAGTAACCTTCAAATGAAACTATTTTGCCTCTTTTTGTTCTTTATATAAATGAAAAAGGGCCAAAATGAGCCCAAACACTGAGAAACCTGACATTAGACATGGCAGAGAATGAACATCAAACTACTATTACATACAGCCACATGGATGTATCTCAGAAATATAAGGTAAGAGACGGCAAATACATGTTTATGAGTACACGGAAATGTTTAACATAAAAGAATAGTGGTAATTGGAAGGATTTACAAATGTGAACAGACTCATAAATGCCTCTGGGATAACTTGAAGTTTTCTATTTCTAGACCTGGGTGATTATCACATAAATGTTCACTTTAAAATATTTAATTTTACACCAATTTTATGCATTTTCCTGTGCTTATTTTACCAATAATGCCTTTCAAAAAAGTTAATGAACAGATTAATAACAGATTAGACATACGTGAGGAAATAGGGAACTAAAAGTACCTACAAAGCATCACAGATGAAAAAATGGAAAATATGAAATAGTTTAGAAGACATGGAGAATATGAAAATGCTCATAATAGCAATGTTTTCCAACATAATAGAAAATCATCTTGAAGAAGTGTGATGGTTAATCTTGGTTGTCACTTCTGAGTATTTCTATGAGAGGGTTTCCAGAGAAGAATGAAGTGTGGGTCAGTGAACTAACTAGGGGAGACCCACCCCGAGTGTGGCGAACATCCAATAGGCTGGGAGCCTGCGTGGAATTGAAAATGCAGAAGGGGAAACTTGTTCCCTGCTCTGATGCATGGTCATCTGTAAGTACACATTTTAGATAAAAGGGACATAGGATTGGCTTTAAGTAAGGGGGATTACATAAATTTCATTTGTTTCCTTTTTAAAAAATATTTAGTTGTAGTTGGGACACAATACCTTTTTTATTTATATGTGGTGCCAAGAATCGAACCCAGGGCCTTGCACGTGCTAGGCAAGCACTGTACCACTAAGCCACAATCGCAGCCCCTTGTTTGTTTCCTTTTAAAATGACTTGTATAAGGATGCCTTTTAAGGCTGCATTTATCAACATGTCAGGTTCTGGGCTATGTGCATTATTTTAACCTCACAACCAACTTCTGACACAAGAACTAAAAAGACCTGGTCTTTATTACCATTATGAAACGGATTTAAAGATAAAAATCAAGACAGTCTAAAACAAGATTTAAACTTCATATTTATGTATAAATTGTTTTTTAACTTCCACTAATTTAACTACTGAAGGACGAACAAAACAGAAATCTAGAAATAAGCCAACAATATTTGGAAAATTGACCCGTTTTAATTATTTAAAAACAATACAACACAACATCAAATTTCCCTTATCATCTACAATTCAGTTATATCCAAACATTCTAAGACCAACAGTCCTCTGCCCAGAAGCAGGGGATCACAGGGGACGCTGAAGACACATGAAGGTGAATGCTGAAGATCAGAGTTCCAGTGGTAGCTCACGAGTCTTCTGTTCAAACACACTCCAAAGTTTGCCTTTTAGTTTGTTACAGACGGAATTTTATGGTAAGTTCTTTGAAATAATTTCATTCCAGACACCAGATTTCTTCAATGATAGATCCATAAAATTTGTGTTCTGATAGGAATAAAAAGTAACTTTTACTTTTGCCCCTTTTTTGGTGACACAGAGGAGTAAACTATCATTCCTTTTAAAAATGAAGAAAAGAAAAATTCTGGGCTGTGCTGGGTCCTGGTTTCTTCTTGTCTGAGCATGTGACTTCAGAAGAGTTAAATCACACTTATGCAACTACGATGATTAGTATTATTTTTTTTTTAGATGATAAAAAAAGAAAATACCCAATAGACATAAAAATGGTCAAAAGGTTTTTTACCGCAGGTCAATTTTTGCTGCCCCCACCCCAAAAGGTACAAAATGAACATATAATTGGGATGGTAACTCCATTGGCTATTCCAATTTACCCATCTGCTGGCCCCCATACAGGTTTAAGGGGACTAGCAGTAGGTTTTCTTAGTAATATAATCATGGTAACTAGCTGTGTTCGTGGCAGTTTATTTGAGGTCCACTGATCCTTTCAATATATGTAGGGAAGCAAGGCTATGTTTCTCCAACTGCCCACATCTGAACACATTCAGCTACCATGGAAACTACGAAGGAAGGAAAAATATATTTATTCCAAGATCCATTTACTGGGATTTTAAAGCGCCCTTTCTTCCATGGAGCCCCAGAATGCTGGCAATGTGCTAGGGGCTGCTGTGTTTTCCAGCATGTGCTCCCATCCTCTGAGGGTCTTGAGAAGGATAGTGGATTGGTCCTGGAGCTCTCATGAAAGGAGGGGGTGGTCCCATTGGGTGGAACATGTGTGGCCCAAAACCTGTACATGGGAGAGAATAAATTTGTTAGGTTTGTTGTTCCTTTGACAACCTTTCATATTTTTGAATCTTCCTAAGATCAAAACTACCTACATATAAATCAAAGCTGACATGGGCTTAAATGAATGTCACTCCATCAGACTTGCTTAGGGAATATCTACGTGTATTATTTCCTTGGTTTTAAAACGTTTCCCCTCAGTCCAGAATACTCCTCAGGACTCAAGGCTTCTGCTAGCATATCATGTGAATCTCTGCTATGTATCAAACATGCCAGATCCTACCAAACAAGATTCATTCAGGATGTGGGAAGTGAACAAGAAATCAGGCCAATGGCAAGACCCTGTCATCATTAACTTCAATGCTTGATACCAGGATGAAAGGTATTCAGACACCACTTTAAAGATATGTGCTCTCCGCCACAGAATTGGTCACATGGGATTTGCTTACACTGTTCATACTGTCACTGACATTTTCTAGAGTACTGCGCTATACAAAGTACTAGTTCTCTAAGTTGTTTATTACTACCTTGGACAAGATAAAGATGTGGAGCCAAAATGTAACTCAATTACACGATCAAGTATGCTGCTCATGAACGATCTTTTTTTTGGAATGAGACTTTCTAATGAAATAAGTGGCTCAATGCTTTACATCCTGGCACAAGCTAAAGACCTTACTGTAGATAGTTAATACTTTGTGAAATGACAATCAAGAGCAGCCCATACTTTGAGCAACAGTGCTACAGGGGCATCAGTTAGGATTTAGTTCAGAACAGATAACAAATTAGTGGTAGATCACTGTAATCCCAGTAATTCCTATCTTGATAACACATATATTCAGATTTTCAAAAAACTGGTGCTTTTCCTCTCCTTGGCAGGCTAGGAAAAAAATGAAATATTAGAACTCTCAACCTATCTGCATTACCAATAAACTTTTTCAGGGCAAATGCAAAGGATTTAGCTGTCTTAGACATGGTGGTGAGGTGTAGGACTTTCACAGAACTTCTCGGGAAGGAAGAAGGAAGTTACCTGGGGGTGGGGGCGGGGCAATCCCAGGGGGTGGTGGCAGGGCAATGTTTACCACCGCGGGAGGACCACTTGGAGGGAGGTTGAAGTAGTTGGCAGAAGCTTCCTCTTCTGCTGCAGGAGGAGGAGGAAGAGCTGGAGAAGAGAAAACAGGCAACACTCAGAAGGGAAGACAATTGGCAACACTGTTTCTATCACTTTAATGTCCTCAAAAGGGCTCTCTAGAAGTGAGAGTTGCTGTAGGAGCCATACAAGCTTCTCTTCTAATAGAGGAACACTGGGCAAATAGCTTCAGTGGTTAGCACAAGTCTGCACTTACCTCCTGGAAGACCTGGAACTGGCTCCAGTTTGATCCCAGAGTCTGTGGTTCCGTCCTTCTCTTTTTCTTTTCCTCTGGCTGCCTGGGATCTGGGAGATATGCATGCACACAAGACATTAGCACCTTGTCCCACCTTCTCTCATACCTCTGCTTGTCAAGTTCCCCAGTCAAATGCAGTCCCTTCACTCCTTGTCTCTTCTTCAGCAAGCAGTCTTCCCATAAATACCAAAGTGCAGAGTGGATAAGAGCGATGGTTTTGAAGGCAGAAAGATCTGGGTTCAAAACTTTCTAGAACCATTGTTTGCCAGGTTTTTGTTCTCGCGACTAAAAGGCTCAGGGGTCAATCCGGTTGAACTGGGCTAACTGGGCTGTGCAAAATCACCACTCAAGAGATACAAATACTTTTTTCTTTGGGGTCGCTGTGATGGCTCCTCTGACCTTAAGGGTCCGCAGGAAGAGAGAGCGAGAGCATGTGCTGACCCCTTTTACTGAGGAAAATCTATTCAAATGAGGCAAGGGGTCAGATTTCAGGGGGCTGAGTCTATCTTCATGATGTTCACTGTCAGCAGGTTGACTGACATCTGGGTAGACCACACCCAGGGGCACAGTAAGAGAAGGGGACACACACAAGGCACTTCCATGGAAGATTCCACCCTATAAACAGGGCAAGGGGTTATATTACAAAGGAACAGGTAAGCATAGCTTCACCCATGGGGCTGTAGGAAGACATAGTCACTCGAACCCTAGAAGAGCAGGGCAGTCTAGCAGCATGGGTGCCTGACGCCACATCGCTCAGCAGGGGAGTTAACTCAGTCACATATGAGGTTGGTCTCCCACAACATATATGTTTGGCAAAGTGCTTAGCACATACGCAGAGCTGTTGCTATTAGTCACCTCCTCCTTGGTTCCAAGCTGGAAGTAAGTTCTCCCTCTGAACTTAAAATTCAGAGTGTTTTATCTGTATCTCTTACACAATTACTGTGTCTGTCTTATGTAACCATCACTTTCAAACTTAAAATAGATATTCTTCTGTTTTATCTTCTCCCCCAGTTTC